AATTATCATTATCAGTAAAATCAAACTTAGCACCTCTTATTAATTTATTTGTTCTTATTATTGTATGCTTAAAGGGAAATAACATTAGGGAAAACATAGTTATACACAAATCATTACAAAAGGCAATGTTAAATTAAATACAGATAACTTAATCATCTTAATAGATCTTTACAGTAACTCTGTATTGAAATCAGGGAGTGATTAAAACTTTTAGATCGGTGGAAAAGAGTTGACAGATTCAGGATCAGTTAGCACATTGTGTTCAGTGAATGTGATGTTTTCCAAATAGTGTAAGAGTTTTAGTTCACAATCCATAAACAAGATAATCTTAATCAGTTATGATGATCAGTTTACAGAACACTGAAATATAATAATGAGATAACGAGAAACCAGAATAGTTTAGTGTAATCACAACTGAAACAGTCATTTAATAATAGTGTCTGACTCCTTTTACAAATCTAACACATAAATCATTACATGGCTAATATATATCTGTAATATTTTAAAATGGCTTTCCTTTACTTTATTAAGAGGCAGTTTCCCAGACCACGATTAAGCGTAGTCCTAGACTGAAATGGCCATTTAGATCAGACTAACAGAAATGTGCTTTCTCTGTCTCGGTTTTAAAAAGTCTAAGACTTAGTCTAGTCCAGAACTGAATAGGCTGATTTCCTGCAGGAACACTAGAGCAACTTCAGGACTAAACTGAGCCTTAAATTAAACCTATCAGGAGGCAGGTGTAACTTCAGATTAATTTCATTTGGAGGACACATGGATTACCTGAACCATGTCAATGATGATCAGCGCTTTCCACCAGCCAGGCAAGTTCTTGCAGACAGAAGTGACCAGAGCAAGGTTTTAATGAATTAAGTGTTCGAGATGGATAAAGTAAACCATTTGAGAATTAAAAGCACATTACATGAACCACCCTGATGCTGGAACCCAGGCTAACTACAAGGTACTATTCAATAAATATGGAAATGTCCCAGGAGTCATGCGTTGCATAGAGGGAACCCATATTCCCATTAAGCGTCCCTCTACTCCTGACTTCTTTCAATATTTCCGCTCCTACAAAAGCAGATGAAAGAATAGATTTCTCCAATGCTTTTAGTTCTTTCCTTAAAGATATCAAATCAGAAGAGTTTTTCATTTTAACAGCACAGAAAATGAGAAGAGAGATCCAAATCACTCAGAAACACATCCTGCTTCACTAAAAGTGCTTCCACAATTAGTAAGAATGTTTGATTTATGCGATGTGTGGAGGAATGATCATCATGAAAATAAACAGCACACTTGGGCACATAGTAAGAATCATTTTATTTCAATGGCAAGGCTTGATAGATTTTACATGTTTCATTTTCAAGAAGATTGTGTCAAAGATTGTAAAATAATTCCTGTTGGGTTTTCAGATCACTCTTCTGTTATTTGTACTATAATTGTTAATTCTGTGGAGATTAGGAGTGCCTATTGGCATTTTCATACTTCCCTTTTAAAAGATGAGACATTTATTGAAATATTTTCTTTTTTTGGAGGAATTTTAAAGAAGAAAAACATCTTTATTCTTCACTGCAGCAATGGTGGGGTTGTGGCAAGATTCACATTAAACAATTATGCCAAGAATACACTTTTACTGTCACTAAAGGTGTTCCTGATTCCATGAAGAAACTAGAGGATGAACTAACAGACCTGTTTAACACAACAGCAGCTACAAGCAGTGATCAATCTGAAACCCGGAAATCAAACACAGATTTGCTGGCTGACCTTTGAGGAGTAAAAGCACAAGGAGCATTCATTCATTCAGGTTTAATAAACATTACACAAATGGATGCTCCTTCTAAGCTTTTTTAGTCTAGAACAGAAAAATGGCCAAAGTGGAATTATTCATTCACTAAACAATAATGCAGGAGAGGAACTTTATAATCCAGTGACATACGAAAACATGCTGTTCACTTTTATTCAGAATTATACAGATCATATAGAAGTTAAAGATCTCCCAAACACTGATGAGGACTCTAATGCCATGCTTGAGCTCTCATTGTCACAGAATGAATGATACACAGCGGTAATGAGTATGGGAAGTGGAAAGACTCCAGCTATTGATGAATCCCAGTAGATTTCAGTAAATCTTTGTGGTCAGTGATAGGTGATGATGATCTTTTGGTTCTTGATGACAGTTTGAATAAAGGTTTACTCTCATTAAGCTGCAGAAGAGCTGTAATTACTGTGTTACCAATAAAGGAGACTTGCGAAGAAGAAGCAACTGGAGACCAGCATCACTTTACTGCACCCATTATAAAATACTGTCAAAGGCATCAGCTACACGATTGAGTAAGGTAATAGGTCAAGTAATACACCAAGATTAACATTATTGTATAGCGAATAGATCAGTTTTTGACAATATTTATTTGGTTAGAGATGTTTTAGAAGTAATTGGGTATTAATTGTGGACTGATCTCTTTAGAGCAAGAGAAAGCGTTTGGCCGTATACAACATGAATATTTAATAAAGCTTTTAGAAATGTTTGGTTTGAGCGCAGCTTCTGTAAATATGATCAAGGTTTTGTACAGAGACATTCAAAGTATATTAAAAGTCGACGGTGGTCTGAGTGCTGCTTTTACAGTACAGAGAGGAGTTAGACAGGGATGTGCTGTGTCGGGGATGTTGTACACACTGCCTATCCAACCTGTGCTGAATAAACTAAGCTCTGAGATAAAGGGTGTGTGTGTTCCTCATTGTGACGTTTCTCTGCATCTTTCTGCTTGTGCTGATGATGTTGTTGTTTCATATCGAATGCGGAAGATATTCAGAAACTGGATTTTATTGTAAGTGATTTTCAGAAGATCTCCTCTGCTAAAGTCAACTGGGGAAAGAGTGAAGCCCTGCTTGTGGGCAGCTGGAGCGGTGTCCCTCCCAAGTTACCTGGAGGTTTGACCTGGAAGAAAGGTGGCTTGAAATACCTCGAGTGAAGATGACTGTGTTCAGAAGAACTGGAATGGCACGCTTGAGAAAATACAAGGACTTCTACAACAATGGAAATGGTTACTTCCCCAGTTATTGTATAGAGGCCGCACACTTATAGTTAACAGCTTGCTGGATCCTCTATATGGCACAAGCTGGCGTGTGGAGACCCCCCTATTGGTTTACTACCGAATCTTCAAAGAGAGATGGTCAATTTGTTCTGGGACAACCTACATTGGATCCCTCAAAGTGTTCTCTTCTCACCAAGAGATGAAGGAGGTCAAGGCTTGGTTGATCTTGTGAGTAGAGGAGCAGCGTATAGACTGCAGGTCATCCAGAGACTATTGTTTTGGGCCCAAGAGTCTTGTAGAGCCGGTGGTTTTTGTCAGGAGATGAAACTCCAGGATAGATGGACATATCAGTATCCAAAACAATGCCACGATTGAGAGACATTGTTGACGAAGCAGGCACTGGACTGAGTGAATCTTGCTAAATGTATGGGAATAGGATCAGTAAGGTTTGCACAGGAACTCTGAGATAAACTGAGTGTGAAGTTGAATGAAAAACACTGCTGGAGAGTTCTAGTCGGGATCTTTTTATCCCAGATGACGAGGAGTTTTCCCTGATATCAGAATTGAAGCTGTAGTTGGAGATAATAGTCCATCGCTGTGTTTTAATGAAAGTGCTGATGTTAGTTCAGCCGAAGGTGAAATATTTGACAGAGATATTGTGGAAATAAATAACGAGCACATTTTTAAAGACAGAACTGACAACGGTATGGAGAAACACACTGGCAGTAGAAGAAGTCATGAAAGCAGAATGGAGAATGATCTATAAAGCAGCATTGATGAGAAGAGGAGGACACTTGCAGTGGAGAATATTACATGCTGCTGTAGCTGTGAACACAAATGAGCCCTAATATCAGTGAGACGTGTCCATTTTGTCCAGAGAGAGAAACTATTGTTCATTTTTTTACAGAGTGTACGAGACTTTCTCCACTGTTTAATATCCTGACTGCTTTATTTTCACCAATGCCTCATTTCTGTTCAAAACAGGTTTTTATTTGAGGCTTTCAGTAAAGCAAATGCAGAAATACAAATGTCCACTAATTCAGTTCTTATTGGCCGAGTGTGACGAGGGTATAGAGTAGGGTTTAAATCTCTTTAAATAAAAATAACCGACTACGCCACCCCAGGAGTTACCCAGGGAAACACTATTAGAAAAGGACACAGGTTCGTTTCTCCCAGAAAGGCACAGAGACGTGAGTTAATGAAAAAGTACAAAAATATTTATTTGGAATAAAACTATCAAATGGTACGGTTCTTTAAAAATACATCAAAAACTCCCACTTCATTATTAAACACAAGAAACAATAAATAAACAAAACCAAACCAGGATTGGAGGTTCCCACTGACTGGGTACGAGTGGACAGACTTTACCCCAGCACACGCACACACCACAGTGCACTCAAAAATCACACTATCACGCACTCAGTGTCCACAGCACTTGATAGAGAAACACCACCACTAGTGGAAAGTGACCCGTCATCCACCGGGGGAAACCTCAGTTCCTGAAATAAATAAAAATAAAAAACCAACAAAACACAAATAAGTGGGTCAATCAGGTTAACACCTACTTTGCATGATTTAATTGAAAGATAGCTACAGCTGTATTTACACCATCTGACCTACACTAGACCCAACATTAACTGTTACTAGAAATAAGACTAAACTCACAAAAGAATACTCTTAATAACGACAAACAAAATCAATACTTTGCATAAATAAAGACACAACAAAAAAACAGAAGAATGCTAATGTTGACAAATCAATTATCCAACACAAATAAACAAAATGAAAGAATGAAGGGGAGCACAAAGCAGCACGCTAAGAGTTATTGCAGGCAGTCCCCGCTAGCAGCTGCATTGGTGGTGTCCAAGCGGCAGCCAATACGCCGCCGTTAGCATTAGCAGCAGTTGCAGACGGTCTCTGGTAACCACGGCAATAGCGATGAACACAGGAGCTAGTAAGCAAATGATACAA